ACATGGATATTCTACTGAGGCTTTGCACTCCAGAGGACACAATATAACTGTTGTGCATCCTAGCAAAAGCTGGTACATCAAGGATGAATCCTCTTATTACAATACTTATACCGTTCAAGTGGAGAGGAGTATTGATTAGGAGTGGGTTAAAAAAATCATGTCTGAGGCCATGAAATTTGAAAGGGGGGCTATTCCCTTGACAAGTTTTCTCAACACGGCCGTAGGAATGATAGGCATGTTTGTGGATGCTCATTCCACCGTGGGTGAATTAGTATCAGCAATGTTAGACAACAAAGAGTTAATGAGAATCCTAGAGGACAGCAAGTTTGACCTGGTACTCACCGATCCCTGCGGGTGCCATGGGGTTATTATGGCAAAATATCTAAACCTTCCTTTGGTTTATAATGTTCGTTGGCTAATGGCTGGGGAAGCTCATCTTGCTATTGCTCCTTCACCTTTATCATATGTCCCTATAACAGGATCTGGATACACTGATAAGATGACCTTTCTTCAGAGAGTTAAAAATGTGTTATTGCAACTAACCAACCTCATACAAAATCAAGTGGTGGTGAAGCTAGTATACCAGAAACTGTGTGACAAATATCTTGGGTCCGATATTGACTTCAACCAGTTAATGCTTGATGCAGACCTTTGGCTGATGAGAGTGGACTTTGTGTTTGAGTTCCCTCGTCCCACCATGCCTAATGTTGTCTATATTGGAGGGTTCCAGTGCAAACCAGCAAAACCTCTCCCTGAGCACCTGGAGGAGTTTGTGCAGAGTTCTGGAGAGCATGGGGTCATCATCATGTCTCTGGGGACCTTTGTAAGTGAACTTCCCTCTGATATGGCAAATGGGATTGCTGCAACTTTTGCTAAATTACCCCAGAAAGTCATCTGGAGATATAAAGGTGAGAGACCAGCCACTCTGGGCAACAACACTCTGCTAGTAGACTGGATGCCTCAGAATGACCTTTTAGGACATCCCAAGATAAAACTGTTTGTGGCTCACGGAGGAACCAATGGAGTCCAAGAGGCTATTTATCACAGTGTCCCAGTTGTTGGTATACCTGTGTTTTTTGACCAATACGACAACCTGCTGCGTCTAAAGGAGAGAGGAGCAGCTAGGATTCTTACACTAGCGACAGTGGACAAAGACAACAACTTTCAGGATGCCATCCAGGAAGTCCTGAATGAGCCCTCCTACAGGTTGAACATGCAGAGACTCTCCAGGCTGCACAGAGATCAGCCGATGAAGCCGCTGGACACCGCCCTCTTCTGGATAGAGTTTGTCGTGAGACACAAAGGTGCAGCTCACCTGAGAACAGAGTCCTACAGACTGCCCTGGTATTCCTACCACTCTGTAGATATACTGCTTTCTTTTCTGGCTACTGTTGCAGCGATTGCTCTTCTCCCTCTTGTGTTTGTAAGTTTTGCATGTCGTAAGAAGAGCTTGAAAAGGAAAACAAGTAAAAAATGAGAACCCACTGAACTCTGTCCTGTTTTTTGTACAATCATATTATACATCATTATGTTTACGAATCTTTATTACCTGAAAAATCAACTTAACATAATTGAGTGTCCACCAGCTACCCTTGCAGCAGGGGAATTATGGTTGGGTTGCATTTGTAAGCCTTCACAGTATAACAGGAATATCGTGTTAGTTTTCAATGCTGGATAAAGGCTGGTTGTGTAAGGCTTTTTTTACAAAGCTGTGTAACAATGAGAATAGGTCAACCCCTTCCAACACAGATACGGGTGAAAAAACCACTGTGACACAATCCATATTCAGGTTTAGCAGGCACAGCAAGCAGTTATGATTAGTTATCTGACACATTTGCAATCTGTTTAGAAAATTGCTTTCCATACAGGCTGCAAATATAATCACAGTATACGTAAATGCCCTAGTTTGTGTCCTCACATGGTTAAAATTAAAAGTGAAAAAATAGTGCCATACAGTTAAAGCCACTATCATGTAAAGTAATTGAATATTTACAGCAATGCACACACTGCTGCTCTGATGATAAAGCTGTAGCTGGATTCTTTCTGTCAGCGGCTCCGTTGTATTTCCCACAGGAGCTGCAGCAGCGATGAGAGAGGGGAGGAAAGCAGCAGTGACACATATATTGGATGCCTCTCTTAATTAGTAGCTCATGAAGAACAGGGTTTGTCATTACAGTCACTGCAGCAGATGGAGTACGTTTCTTATCAGATAATGTCAGGCCCTCTTTGGTTGAACTTTCCCGAGGAGACACTGGTAATGGGGGATGCAGACAGCTTGTATATTAATGATTTGACAGTGTCGAATCAAAACAAAATGAGAAAACAAAGAATGATTGGTGTTAAATGTCATCATTAACCACGTCTGGGCAAAATAATTAATGTGTGGATATTAAATAAATAAATACATTGAAAAAAAGACACTTAAAAAGATAAATAATAATAATGTTATCAGTCATTAACAGTCTTTATTTCTGTTTATTTAGCATTTTGTCTCTTTTTTCTATTTTCTATCTATCTATTAGCGTATCTGTTTTCATCTGGATTATTTGTTTTTTCTAAAATAAAATAGTTATGTTAATGAACTAATTTGGAGTCAAAACCAAATGCATGTCATCCAACCCAGTCTCACGGCATTTCGTGTTATAGTCAGGAAATGTAATCTATTGATTCGTGTTCACCAACACGATTTTCCCATTTTTTTTCGTGTCACACAGAACGATTTTAAAAGCAATGTGTTTCTATTGGTAGTACGTTTCGTGCCTGCACCAAATAATAACCAATTAGAAGGAAAAAAAGATTTAAAAAATACCGATTTCAGTATTCTGAGGCTCTGAGCCCCATTTATTTTCCTCACGGACGGCAAAAAAAGTCCGACATTATACAATTTAACATAAAAACAATAATCGTGGCTTGATATTGAGTAAGAACATGTTTTTATGAACCACACAGCTTCCGGTCTTCCAAGACCCGACCGGACAGAAATACGTGTTGCAGGCACGAAACATACTACTAATACAAATCCATTGCTTTTAAAATCGTTCTGTGTGACACGAACAAAAGGGGGAAATCGTGTTGGTGAACACGAATCAATAGATTAAATTAATTTCGTGACTATAACACAAAATGCCGTGAGACTGGGTTGGGACATGCATGACTGTGCAGACATGCCTAAAGAGAAGAAAACTGCATGTCAGTTTGAATAGCAAAGACTCCTGGAGGGAACAATACATTGGATATGATAGAGTTTGATGCTAATGGCTTCAGTTGTCTCTCTGGAGAGTTTGTGTTAGGTTTGTGTCGGCACAGATTTAAGGATCTCTCAAGGGCTAATTGTCTTTAAACTTTGTACAATGAATGTAAGTCCTTGAAGAAATAGCTTGACATTTTTTAAATAACCCTTGTAGTAGTTAGTTAGTAGTTAGACAACTCTCATGCTGTAACCACAATATGAAGCTACAGCCATGAGACAGTTAGCTTAGCGCCGTTTAGCTTAGCCTAGCAAAATACTTGAGATGAGGCTAGTCTGGCTAAACAGGGCTGCCAACACTCACGCATGCGGCATTGAGCGTGAGAGTTACGCAATTAACCCATATCTCACGGACTCACGCCACACATGCCTTTCCTCACGCTAAGTTTTCGTCCAAAAATAAATGTATATAAAAATAAAGTGAAGGAAAAGCAAACCGAGAGGTCTACGAAATGAGACGGTCTTCTGGCTTAGTTCAGTAAAGTTGGAACGATATTGGGAGATTCTGATTTCACGGATCAATAACTCATGAACAAAACGTTATTCAGACACAAATTACGTCTCCTAAGTACCGTGGTAAGGTTGACAACGAACTACAATCACATTTTGATCAAAAAAAGCCAATACGCGCCGTCCTCCGAGCTGGACACATTACATTGGTCTCTATCCGCAGCCGGAGAAAAAACGAGTGCTCAGGGACCGTCTGCAAAGTGCAACTCCGAAAAAGGAGAATACAATAATATTCAATCACTATTATACAGCTTATTACTACCAAACTCACCACCACACATCAATAGTCTTCTGTTGGTCATACTACA